TAGTTATACTTGCCCTTATTTATGAGAATCACTAACCAATTGAAGACCATGCAGCTGAAAATGTTATGCCCCAAATAGAATTTCGCTGTCAGATCACTGTCATATTCAACACAGTAAAATTGCAGTCGAGAGTCGAGTTAAACTGTGTCCCTTGGCTGTGTTTATTCAGTGTACATTACCCTCTGTGACAATTGGATCTGGCACATGTACAGTGACCAAGACAATGGAAAAACAGCATGGAGAGGAGGGGGAACCTTGGAATAGCACGGAGGAACAGGCGTAAAGGGGAACACATGGGCCAGAGAACTTGTGCACATTGGAGACATTCACTGTGAAGAAAGTCATTGGGCTTGAGCAGGACACGTTACATGATGATGATGGGTGGTCGAGACTAATGATGGAGATGCAGCCAAAGCATTGAACACGTGCAATACGGCTTGTGGAGGCCTTCAGTCAGCAGTGGATTGATCATGATTGATGATGATGAAAATTGCAGCCAGAAATATGCTTAAATCCTGGCTGTGTTTATACAGGAGAATCTTTGACATCGGCAACAATCTGTGACGCACCAAAAAATATGTTTTGTAGTGACTTGAGCTTTTAAGTTGATCCATGCTTCCATTCATTGTCTATATTGTATCCGTGTGGAAATATCCTTCGGTGGAGTCGATAAATATGCAAGTCAGCATGATTGTGCATCCAAATGATAACTCTGGGGGTGATGTTTCCTGTAATTGGTAATGATTGGTTTAGGGAAGGCCAGGGGACAGGCCGGTCCATACATTGTGACCACATAGATGCGGTCCATTCTTCCACGACCCAAGCAGTCTTCGTTCGCCCATTGACTTTGTGAATGTGATGGCAAACATCGTGTGTGCATCTGTTGGTCGGTTGGCAAAACAGAACATTCTCGATTATCCCGGGGTAATGGATGGGAGGGGGGTGGCCCAGTTTGAACACAAACACAGACAAAGCAGAGCATATGTAAACTAGGACATGAAAACCTATTTATTGCGATTTAAAGCTTTCGTGACTGCAGGGATTCATGTTCTTGGTTCTTTCGGTAAAGTCACGTAGAATGGAAATAATAAAATAATACAAATAAAACATAGAATAATTCTCACGACGTTTCGGCCACAACGCAAGCAGCCGTCCTCAGGTGAAGAACAGGTCTGTCGATAAGGCAGAGTCTGTCTTATCGACAGACCTGTTCTTCGTGACTTTACCGAAAGAACTAAGAAGACCTATTTATTGCTTTACATGTGTAGAATCGGGTGGGGGGGCGGGGTTGAAGACAGAGCATGAGATGTCTTCTGTCTTTTAGTTGTTTCGTAAAGTAATCAAGTTTACTCGTTAGGTTTGCAGTTGCGCGGGCACCGAGTCATTGGCCCTCGACAAGTTGATGGACCAGCGAAGTAAACTTGAGCGTGTGAATTTGTATTCATTTATTTATCTATTGCAAGCACAGTTAATCCACACACACAAAAAATGATACGCCCATGGATGATTGAGAGTTGACTGCATAAAGAAAGACATTTTGTCGCCAGCCTCTGAGATGCCGAGTCACCCGTGCATTATGCAACAACCACTGTCGTCCACCACTAAGTGGCGGTGACGTCACCACGGCGCCTGTGCCATGCTAGGTGAACTTTGAGGCCACGTGAATGTGTCGGAGGTCATATCCAAGTGTCCACGGATTGACTGACTAAGATGACTGGCAGATGCACCAATTGCGCCCCCCCCCCCCCCCCCCCCCACTGTGCCAACTACATTATGCACACGACAGACAACCAGCAGAGAATACATAAGCAGCAACGTGCTTCCACCTTGTGGATGATTGTGCTAAACGAGAGCCACTAGTTTGTATCTGTTACAATCCTCTCGTAGGCCACTAGGAGGCAGTGTTAAACAAGCTGTTGCCAATGACGCGCGCACAGCCGTTTTTTGAGTTAGTCGCTCGAGTACAGATATCATCAGTCTATAAGTTCGGTAGCCTCACTGTATAGGTGACTGCACGCTGACAGAGAAGGTTGATGCGTCTGTAGCGTTCTATTGACCATTTTTTTGCCATTGCCACCGTTGTGTAACGTGCCGGTCTCGCTGAAAGAAAGGACTGAAGCTAGTTGTAATTACTGGCGAAACGTCGTACTCGGATTGTAAATGTGTTGTGGCTTGGCTCTCCAACACACCGGTGTGCTGTACTAGTGACGAATTGGTATGTTCTGTTTACATGACAACCCTTACTAGTTGGCTGTGTCGGGTGGTGGCGGGGTTTAACGACACATTTATATATTAGAATAGGTTTTCCCCTTTTTTCTGGCAACAAAACAGCTCTGTTAAGATGTTAAAACACCAAACTGAAACCTTTTACAAGGAATCGTGTCTGCATTAACCACAATACTTGTGGTCAGAATGCAAACAAAAAACATACTCTGATAGTATATGCATTGTCTTTGAAACTCACACCAGAGACAGCTTCTTTGGAGGTTAGTCTCAAATGGTGTTAGATCATATTTTGGTACTGGCAAAGGAGGTCCCATGATGTAGCTGCTCACCCGAGCTCTCATTACTCTGATAGTGGCATTGTCTTTGTGCTGTACGCCTTTTGACGTCCTCTGGTCTAACGCCTTTTGAGACTCAGCTCCAAAGAAAGCTGTCTTGTGTGGACCAATCAGTTTCAAGGACAATGCATTTATTATTAGAGTGTTTTTGTTTGCATTCTGACCACAAGTGTTGTGGTTAATGCAGACATGATTCCTTGTAAAAGGTTTCAGTTTGGTGTTTTAACATCTTAACACAGCTGTTTTGTTGCCAGAAAAAAGGGGAAAACCTTTTCTCATATTTTGGTACTGGCAAAGGAGGTCCCATGACATTTATATATTTACGCGATCTAACCCAAAAAACCTCTTATGGATGATATTGGTCGTGAAAGCCTTCGTGTTAAACTGAAAGAAAAGGGCCGCGAAGGCAAAAACGCTGCGGCGATGTTGCCGCTCAACTCGTGTGCTCATTCTATTCCCCGACACCCCCACCTTTTAACCTTTAACCCATGCCCAGAGCTTTTATGCACATTGTGTCAAAGAATAACACGTACTGCTTGCTCCGATGCTGCGAGGTTCAACAATACTGTAACGTGCACTCTGGTTTTACACTGCACCTATACGCTTGTGCAGAGGTTTACAAAAAAAAACATGCATCAAGTAAATAAATAAAATTGAGACCTTGGCAAAGTGTTGGTAATGTTATCTGCATGTGCCTGATTGTTGTGCGTGCGTGGGAAAGCATTGCTGTGGCTTATGTAACTAGATTCCTGGTTGTTGTCTTGTTGCGATGTTTTTTAAAATGAAAATATTGATGAAGATCGTGTATTTGCGATGAAATACAAATTCAAAGAATCAAATGCACCTATTACACAAGAGTGTGTGTGTGTGTGCTGTTGGCATTAGTTCACTTGGTGGCATTTAGTCAGCATTTATTTTCGTGTACTTTTCCATTTAACCATGGCATCAGACATAATAGTGCCAGCCAACCATCAAGTGGGTCCTTTTAGGGGCCATCCATTAGTCCGTACGCAAAAAATCTGTCAACTTGACCCCTTCCCCCCCCCTCCCTGTACACACGCGTACTTTTTACACCCCCCCCCCCCCCCCACCTGCGTACGTACACCTGACGCACCCCCCCCCCCCGAATCCTATAGAACGAACGATATTTAATCCACGCAGAAACGATCAAGGATTAATCATATGAACGTGTTTAAGCAAACAGATAGTCCACCGCCGGACTATCTAACTCATTTGAAGGCCAATGTAGACGAATTATTATCGAGGCTTCACCCCCCCCCCATTTCCTATGCGTACATTGTCATTAGACCCCCCATTTGCAAGCGTACACATTTGGGTTAACCCCCCCTCCATGCGTACGTACTTGGATGGCCTCTTCACGGTTAAGCAACTGGGAGACTGGCTCTCAAGAATGCCTTCTTTATAAACCAGTCTTTTAAAAGGGCAAATTGTTATGTTGGAGCGATTCTTTACTTTTGAGCTGCAGATATCTCTTAAGCTCCTGTTGAGCTTCCAAATCTGAAAAATACCTCGCCATAATCCTACTTATGAAACTCTTGCACTGCGAGGTAGCAGTCACATGCCCGCTGTCCTTAGAGTAACTGCTTCACAATCTCTTCGTTGTTTTGCTTTCTGCCACCTTTTCATCAGACCCGCAGTGCCCCCACGAATGGGGTTCTAGCGTCGTTCTTCTCAACGTTAAAGTAGACAAAAGCCCGTGTGACAGGAGTGTTGTTTTGCACCGTTTATCTCAAGAGGCTTAATCGTATGGTCGGTCTCTGGACGTGGAATGCAGATGGTCACTTCAACTTCAGTGAGCCTCATCAAAGTAGTTTTAACCCCCCCCCCCTTCCCCGGGAGCTTCTGTACCTATAAATTGACAATAACCAAATTAGAAAGAAGGACAATTGCATCAACGTGTTTACCGTTTTGTTTTGAAGGTTTGCAGCATGTGGTAAAATTAAGGCCCATGTTTTAACGCAGCAAGACTGTCCATTGGTGAACCCGTTCTTTGTATGGGCAAATTTGCTTTGAGCTTATAAATTGACCATCGTGGTTTTTTTTGCGTAATGGTGATTTTTCTAGGATGGAACACAATCGCCGCTGTAGGGAAGTGTGCGCGCCTGCCAGTTGTGTGTGTGTGTGTATATTAACTGATGAATGAATGTCAAGCGGCTTCTTTATCACAAGAAACATTTCAAATTCTGACTTGCATGATTATCGGAGCAGATGTCAAAGCAGATGGAATGGTTTTAGTTGGCAGAAGAACTGGTTTGGCTGGTGGGAGGCAAGAGTGTCTCTACATTAAGGCATGAAGACTGATCGTTTGTTCTTTTTCACAAAGTCTCGTCGCCTTTTCATAAATAATGTTTGTATTTCTGAACTGTAACGCGAATTCAAGTGTAATCATCGTTTCCCCGTGTTTCTGTTTGTTCACAGGGGTGTCATAGGAAAGCAAGGATATCAATGCCAAGGTATTTTATCTTCATGGGATTTAAACATTTGATGTTGCATTTTTCCATCGCTGTACCGTTTTTTTTTATTTCAATTATTAAACATGAACACTATCTCAGGATACCCTGTACACAGAGGCTCACTTTTCAACTGCTTGTGGTTCTCCGGTTAGAATGTGATAACAGACACACATCTTTCATTACATCAGTGGTGGTATGATGCTGATTTTCAAAATTGTTTTTCTTCAGACATCAATGCATCCATTGGTGCCTCGAGTGAATAATCACAACCATCTGATCACTCCGCCAAATGCTATTGCTCACTATCCTAGTCAGGTCATGCCCTTGAAAAAGTAACAACTTTGCAAAAGGGGATTTATATATATAACGTTAATGTTAACTAAGTGTTGGTATATTGCTCATTTTTACACTGCTTTTGATTTTGGAATTTACAGTAAAATTATGGACAAACATCTTTCAATATATCAATAGTCGGGTGATTTGAGTTGTTTAAAATTGCTGCGTAAAGAACAGGGATGGCTTGTATGTGTTAGAGGAAATGTTTGATTTTTGTTTGCAGTGTGCACATGTGTCGTACACAAGAGGTGCCATGAGCTTATTATCACCAAATGCCCCGGCATGAAGAAAGAAGCCCAGGATGAAGTAAGTTTACTCCATTCACCCGATGCAGTCATACTAATTTTTATGAATATAGGAAGGGGTTACGTTGTAATTATGACTGGGACTTTTAAGAATACTAAACTAAACGTTTTATTTTACCAGGTAAGGCCCGTTGAGCAATGTAGCTCTTTTTGAAAAGCGACCTGGTCACAAATGATAGCTCAGCAAAGTGGCTTATCACGTGGAAATGTACAGCAACCAAATACTCTTAAACGCATGTTTCTAAATGCACTTGTTATAAAGCCAAAGCTTTCACACAACCGAAAATGATTTAAAATGATAATTAGGATGATTATCATCAGCCATCTTCAGCCTCGGGTGGATGAAAGCCTTCCTAAGCTGTTGCCATGCAACAATACATCCAGCGGTTGTACACGAGCTTGTACCCTCCGATTAATACGGTTGACTCCCTACGGTGCTTAAGTTCAACGAGTTTAACACGTAGGAGGCTTTCGCCACCAATATTTTGGGTTAGATCGCGTAAATATAAATGTGTCGTTAAACCCACCACCACCTGACACAGCCAATTAGTAAGGTTTGTCACGTAAACAAAAGATGGCAATTTGTTACGCGTACAGCACCCAACATTTACAATTCTAGTACAACGATCTCACTCCGTGGCTCCATTTCTACGGTGCCTCAAGCCTTGTATATTCTCAAATCTCAGTATGATTTCAAGCATCCACGCTTCTTTGTCCTGAACATAATAATGAAAAGAAACGTGCGAGTGTGCCAAAAGAACATGTTTTTAATTGCTGCATATTGCCTGTTGCGGGTGGAGCGGAGACTAAGTTGTTCACTTAGTATGCTATGAACCCGGCAAGTTTGATTTACACCTCCTCCCCCTTCAGCAACCCACACTGACTAGTGTCAGTGGGGAAGTATGGTCAAACAACTCCCATGACTGACACGGCATGCCTTCATACAGCAACGAATTGACAAGAGCTGCGTTACGTGTTAAGACGTACGAATCAAAAGCATGGACACCGACAGATTCAACATTTTTCCGTGCCAAATAATCACAGTCGACTCACTCTGCACTGTGTTCTGCGTGGCATCATTGTGGCACAAAGGTGGGAAGCCAGCGGTTCAGCGTGAACGTGCCGCACAAGTTCTCCATCCACAACTACAAAGTCCCCACGTTCTGCGATCACTGCGGCTCGCTGCTCTGGGGCCTCCTGAGGCAGGGACTGCAATGCAAAGGTTTGACCCTCCCACCTGTGCCTGTACACCACGGTCTGAAGCATGCCGCGACAACCAAGCCTTGGTGCTTTGAACGGGTGACTTAAGCTATCGAGTGTACAGGCTGACATCTTCTTCTTGGTTCTTTCGGTAAAGTCACGTAAAAGGGAAATATTAAAATAATGAAAAATAAAACATTATCAAATATTTCCCTTCTACGTGACTTTACCGAAAGAACCAAGAAGATGAATCCCTGCAGTCACGAAAGCTTTAATTCGAAATGCTGACATCTCTTCAATCTACCACTTATCCATACTCGGGGGCAGCACTTACTACATACCCACCGTGCTGCGTAGAGAAATGTCCGTAATATGATCGTCAAGCCGATATTTTTAATACCCAGAGACGACATTTTTGAAGAATTAAGTGTGAAACTGAATTTCATGTGATGGGTTTTTTTTTGTGCAGTCATTGCTGATTGGGCTGAGACCATCAACTTGACACTCACGAGAGAACCTGGTGTGGTCATGGGCGGCTACTCGGATTTGCTGCCAGATTCTCAGAGATTCCAGCTCAGATGCTCTGACATCTGAACCAACCGATCATATCATTTTCAGATTGTGTTAATTATACATTCTGGTTTATGCATTTTACACAAACCTCGTATGCATGCGTGTGTGTGATATTTAAAAGTACAGGGTGGTCCATTTTTTTTACAACCCTCATATTTTTAATGCCTCTCTTAATTTATTGAAAACAGGTGAAATAATATTATGAAAGTGATGGTTATGTTGGGCAAAGCATACTAGGAGGGTGTTTACATTATTTTTTTGCAGTGTATCGATATAGGTGGAAGGTATGTAGTGGCCTTGAATAAAAATGTTGCTTTCTTTGTAATTAATTTTATTTTATAAGAGTATTTAAACATGAATCGCCCTGTATTTTCATACAATACGTATGCACACGCAGAGTGTCAAATTAACCCGTTTTACGTTCGTGTAAGTCACCGGAACGGAATCAAAATTAAAAGGCCATGCGGGAGGGCGTGTGGCGCAGTTTGGCACCAGCGATCATAGAGTGCGGTCACGTCGTTGCATTGCTCTGCGTCGAGTACAATGCCTCTCTAAATAAAATCAACGCTCACGGCTTGCGCATTACGAGATTCAGCGTTGAACGGGACACCCACACCCTGCACCATGCACACGTCTCGGAACGGGAAATGGTTAATAAGTACGTGATTCTCTGCGTTGTTTTTAACGTTTTTTTCCCCTTTTTCCAGTCTGCAAGATGAATGTGCATCGGCGGTGCGAGCAGAACGTGGCGCCCAGCTGTGGCGTGGATGCGCGAGGAATCGCCAAAGTGCTCGCTGAGATCGGGGTCACTCCCGACAAGATACACCAGTCCACCATTAAGAAGAAGAAGGTTAGCTGCCCGTGGCTTGCTTTTTACCTATAGCCTGCAATTTACCCAAGAAACAAAACAGCTCAAATCTCGATCTCGTTAGTGCAGGGATGCGGAATCCACGGTCAGCGAGCCACATGCGACCACCGACCGACCGTCTTCGTTTCATATGGCCCCGCAGGCGATCGTTATCCATCACTTCAAGCATCTTAGCTGCGTTAATCGTGCACCAGAAGTGAATATTTTCGAGCGGCCAATGCTGTGTTTATAATTTTAGTGCGCTAAGTCGCTACTGTCACCACAATCGCCTCGCCATACTCGGTGGACACGCGCGTTATTTTTCACGTTATTTATGGACTATGCCAAGATGCGTGTTGGTGTGTACAAACGGTGAAAAACATAACAATAAATGTGAATAAGATGGTAAAAATTCGACATTCCATTCTTAAATAGAATCCTAACTCTGAATCCGAGCGATGTATCAATTATCTGATAAGTTTGACTCGTTAAATTTGTGTCTACTAGGTACCTGTGCGCAATATTTCAGCTTTCGTTTTTTTTTGCATTTTTGTTTAATGAGCCATGCTCGCAGTGGTGTTGCTATCGAGAGCACAGGCGGTGCAACTGCACCGGGACCCACAGGCCAGAGGGGCCCAGCGACGAGGCTATGGCGAGGGATGAAATTGGACAGGGAGAACCATTTCATTCCTTGCACCAAGGCCCCATGCCACTGCATGCTAAGAACAGAAAAACACATTCCTGCGGAGGGAGCTGGTAGGAACGTCGGGGTGCTCGGTCAATGGCCAGGGTCAACGGCGGCGTGGTGTATTCCGCAAATATGCCCAACTGTGAGGGCGGGCACAAGCCGGCGTGAGTAGGTTAAACGTTGAGTTTTATAAGGGCACCACGGGGTGACCAGCCCCTCACCACCCAGCCCTTCCCCACCCAGCCCCTCCCCACCCTCCCCTCTCCACCCAGCCCCACCCTTCCCATTTTTGGAATCAGGACGGACAGACAGAATAATCCCCTGTGGGCTGGTGGAACCAGGAGGTTCCTACCAGTAATATGTTTCAGATTACGGTGGATTTGTGACGACACAGTCGGATATATGATCATCTATAGGAAAGGACAGATAGATCAATTTACAAATACAGCGCTGGATTGGGCAAATAATTGGTCAAGGTGGATATGTGGCGGTTAGTTATGTGATGTACTGAATCTCAACGCTTTTCAACAGTTCCTTGTGTTATGTATGTGTGGGGAGCAGTAGTGTTGCGGTGAGCGTGTGCCGCACTATTAACCCGGCGACCTGAGTTCGATTCTCGCTCTCACAGCCAACACCGGTGACGATTATCTGATCCGGTCCTGGGCCTCCCCTAGTTGGACTCGGCCTCAAATGTGTACTTGGTACAGTGTGTAAAAACATCGGCACTGGGGAAACAAAGATGGTCGGGCATGGTGCTGGCCACCCATCCCCTTCGTGTGCCGCGACGCTAACGGCACTTGCCCCAACAGTCTGTCAAGGCTATACGGTGGATCTTTGTCTTTGTACATCTCGAGTGTGTGCTCAGCTCAGCTCATTGTGTTTCAGCTGATTACATCGTCGGACTCGCAGACGCCAAGCCCCGGGGTGGTGGCTGCTGACCCAGAGAAATCTCGGCCGATTCTGACCTCCCCCGGTGAGGAAGGTACGTTGTCCACTTAAGCCTTCCCCCCCTTTACCCACGACGCGCGTTCTGCTTTTTAACAGCGCATTTTCCCTACGAGCAGCTGTTCTGAACGCTTTTCATCTAAGGTAGGAAACGTTAATGCATTAGCTATATTCTTAGGTTTTTTCGGTAAAGTCACGTAGGTAAAAAATTTAAATTAATAAAAGTTGAGCTGAATCAAGCTGTCGGGCTGTGACGGTTCCACCTGAAGACGGAAGCTTGTGTTGCCTCCGAAACGTCGTGATTTTTATTTTTATTTTACTTTTATTAATTTAAAATTTTTTACCTACGTGACTTTACCGAAAAAACCTAAGAATATGAATCCTTGCAGTCACGAAAGCTTCAAATCTAGAATTAATGCATTAGCTCCTTACGTCTGTGGCGGAGGGTCACGGTAACTCTCTTAAAGATAATCAGATAGAGGACAACATTGACAGCAAGGGCTTGCCCAAAATTTGGAGAGCGAAAAAAAACCCAGCACTAAATGGATGAGGGTTTTCGCCCAAAGGTGATTTTAAACTTGATTCATGCACCTCTTCTTCTTTCAATGCATTAATTTTAATGCTTCCGACGACAACCTCACGTTGGGAAAGGGTTACAAAATGCATGCGTGTGCATGATTTCCCTTTATAATTTTTTGCATGTGACGAGAGGTCAACTTGAACCTTGGCTGAAGCGTGCTGCAGCTGTTTGCATTTTTTCTGGAGATTTTTGAATTGTAAAGTGATGGTTCTCGTACTTTAAAGAGTTTTTTTTTATGAATTCGATGTTAGTAATTTTCATGGTTTAACTGCTGGTTGGTGATTTTTTTAAATTATCTGAATCATCTTAGATATTTATCACACAACACACAACCTTCCACCCACCGCTGTGCACACAAGACCCCTGGACTATCTCATCAAGCTTGAGAATTCTAACACGATTACTCATCATAATGTGAAGAGTACTTGCAAATATATGCAATGTAAAACATTTCTGAAAACTCAACCAATCTGCAACCTAACACCACAGGAGAATAATGATCAAATACACACACACACACATTTTGGTGATATGATCCTTATGGCTGTACCCCGGGGTACCAAATAATACAAAATGAATTCTCAATTTGAAGCTTTCGTGACTGCAAGGTAATTTAATTTTTTACCTACGTGATTTTACCGAAAATTCTAAGAGTATAATACAAAATGGTCCAAGGCAATTCAATGTTTTATTTCTGGGACACTATTTTTTCCAGGGGTGTACTTAACTCTGCGACTGGGCTACCAATCAATCCAAAATCGGCGCTACTCCGCGATGTCAAAACGCAGCGAGGACGATTGCGCCGAAACCCTGAACGCTCGTACGCACCGTAGTGGTGCATCGTGCACAGCTCGTCGAGATGACTCGATTGCTGCATCACCGGCCATCAACAGAGACTAAAAATTACTGCATCATTAACATGATGCGAGAGCCGGGGTATTGTGGGCACCCCGGGGTACCACCACAAGGTTCATATCGCAAATATGATCAGATCTTCTTATGAAGGTTATTAAAAAACTGTATGACAGCACTATATAGATGCAATGTGTTATGCAAAGTAGTCATTGTAAGGTATAGGTGCAGAGATTAATGTCATTGAGTAAATTTAAATGTTTTTATCAGTTTGTGTCATGTTTTTTTTACAAAACACTGCAGGATGTGCTTTATCAGCACTTCACGTGCATTTGCAGAAGGCTGATTATTTCCCTATCTGATTGACATTTCACTTGGCACCATAAGTGAATGTCAACATATTTTACGTAAAATGTTCATTTTATTTATTACAATATTTCGCCGGGAAAATCCCTTGAGATGTCACATCTCAAGTTTTCAAAGAAGTCTAGAACTCTATATATATTATTTATATTTTATTATTTATGCTTTGGGGAGGCCCTTGGCAATAATTTTCAGTTTGGGGCAAAGTTGCTCTGCGTTCAGCCAAATAATTATTTAATTTACAGTTAATGTTTCAGAATTGGATGTTTGGCCAATACCAGTTACGTTGTATTTTGAGTTTTGAAGTCTAATGTGGTAATTAATGCTTCAATGTGGGTCACAATTAGCATCCTATGTCATCAGGCTGCCTGGACAGAACTTATTAGTTTCTCCCGCACAGAGATACATATATCTTTGCTTGGAGATAATATTTGTATTTGCGTTTATCGTGCCTTCATCCACAAATATAAAGGTCACATCAAACGGAAGCCCTTCGCCCCTTGTTGTGTGGAAATGCAAATAACGGGCACATGTAGTTTATTTTTTCTTTACAAAATCACGTAAGTAAAAGCTATTTTATGCAACAAACAAGAAGGGTACACAGAGTTTGTCGGGCAACAGTGGCGCATAGTGGTGGTGCACAAGAAGCAATTAGCTTGAGACACGTCAGGCAGACACCCAGTGCCAGCGCAAACTCGAGAATAATGACACGATTATTCATTTAAAAACACAGAGACACGAAATATCTTGAAAGTAGTGTCATGTCACAGCAGACCATGTTTAGGGTTTTTTAAATGCACTGGAAATTTCAAAGGCTCCAACAGCCAAACTAAAGCCAACTTGCCGGGCGATGGGAGTAACTTCTCTTCGCTGTTTTATTGCTAATGTCAGACACCGCAAATTGGATTACTTTAAGTTGCATGCAAATACATTGTTTATCATTTAAACCTCGTGCCACACCTGACATTATAGGACCCCAGAAAATCCAGTTTGATGAGCCAGTTCGTCGCCCTTCAGGGTGTTTTTCACTTCTGCCGTGTATGACATCACGATTCACATTTTAACGTGTGTTTTGCTTGACCTATTTGTGTGAGGATTATGGGCTTTGCGGTGTGCTACAAATTGTTCAGACTGTCATGCGTGAAATGTTTATATTTTTGAGGATCTGATTAAATGTAATCGCAGTCACAAATTCTCGTGAACATTCTAAGTCGATGGCACAACAGGTCACTATGAACCCAGCGACCTAAGCTCGATTCCCAGCCACTGCTAACATCAGTGGCGAGTGCTGAACCAGTTTTGTGTCGTCACCCCCCCCCCCACTAACTTGCACTGACCAGTGTGAAGTATGATCAATCAACCCCCTTAGCCGGAGGGGCTTCATCCACCAGTGGATCGACAAAGGACCACAAATTTTGACAATTGTTAAAACAACTTCTGTTATCTAATTGTGTTCGATGGTAACTCCATACGTTCAAGGGATGTGTTCCCAACTTTTATAATAATACAAAAAATCCTAAAATCGGGTTCGGAAACAAAATTTCAGATTACCTGGCATCTGCACACTGGGGTGTCCATGACGTGAGCATCCCGTGTAGTCACGTGACCACGTTTTGACGATGTGCAGCGTGATCTTAGTTTAAAGCGTTGAAACGTATATTAAATGGTTCAAATAATAATAATTGTTTATCGCTGAAACGTGATGATAAAAATAACAATCCCATGATTAATTTGTAAGACTTATAACATGGTGTAGAGACAATTAAAGTTAGCATGATTTAATACATTTAAATATGAAAATATGAAATTAATCTGAAACTGGGCCTATTTTTTATAACACCTTGAATATATGAAATCTGAAATGTATCCCCCATATGTATACATGCTCTCCAGAGGGGTGCCGTGGTGGCAATATGTGAACGGCCTCCCCTGGTTTTCGGGCGGTCGTGGGCTTGATCACGACCCTGACACCTGTATATTTGGAGTTTGCATATTTTACCCATGGTGGCGTGGATTTTTCTCCGGGTCCTCCGGTTTTTCCGTCCACATTTAGAATCAACGTCCGTTTAGAGTATTTGGTTGCCATACATTTCCACGCGACAAACCACTTAGTTGAGCTATCATCTGTAGCTAGGTTGCTTCTGAAAAAGAGCTATGTAACTCAGTGGGCCTTACCTGGTAAAAAAAAAATAGTTTTGTTTAGTGACCTTGTCACCTTGTGCTTCACAGCCTGCACCGGAGCAAAGGAGCTGGAGAGCGGAGTGAAGAAAGCCCTCTCGTTCGAGGCTCCCAGCGAAGGCAAAGCGGCAGAAAACGGTGAAGGGGCCCCTCCCACGACGAACCGCCTCTGCCGCCGCTACGGTCTCGACGACTTCTCCTTCATCAAAGTCCTCGGCAAGGGCAGCTTCGGCAAGGTGTGTGCGCGCCGGCGCCCCTGATCTTTGACCCCGTTTCGCGACGTCCGCCCATTTGAACCTCACTCTGTGGCTTCGATGGTTGGTAGAGTTGATTCAAAACAGCCACGGGCTGAGGTGGCCAGGTGGCTCAGAGGTCAGTGTTGCCACCTCCAGGGATACAATAATATTGGGATGTATCACGGGAAGAAGAACATCTCATCGTACAGGAAAGGGGGAGATCTACACGTTCGATGCATCGTCTTGAGAGGTTTGCTGTTTTGCAACTGACAAAAACTGTTCCAGGAAAACTTACAGATTTCCCAGGACAAGCTACCTGATAAGAGGACAACACCAGGACAGGTGGCAACCCTAGTCCACAGCACTGAGCTGACATCCAGGCAAACTACCTGTGATTAAACCAGGTTCTCGAGTGTAGCCAGTTGATGATCTCAGTCCGGTCACTAATGCCTGCATATAAAACCTCCATTGCATTTGGTTCTGCATTTTAACTTGTCTAAATTTCAACTGCGAAAATTTGTATGTATGGCAGAGTGGGTGCAAACGTGTGTACCGGAGGTCACCTTAAGTAATTTCAGACATACCTTAATGGTATCTGCTTCTCCGGATCCTTCTCTAACACGAAGGGTTGCACTATTTTGCAAGCGTTTTGATTGCATTATTTGCCTAGTGACATTACGGCGATAACGCAATAGGGATTAACATGTTTTTTTTTCTTTAAACCGCCAGCGGCGATTCCTGTTCCAAGAGGAAGCAAACTGGTTTATGTGAATACAAATGCATGTTACAGACTCCATATGGAATGTTGATCAAATTAAGGGGAGTAGGGCAGGACGAGTCGTGGATTAGAGGGATAATGGCCTGGAGTAGAAACCAATGGTGGATTTGCATCCAATGGAGGGAACAAAGACAAAGATCCTCCATATAGCCTGTAACAGACTGTTGGGGCAAGTGCTGTTAGCGAGAACCCATGAAGGCCATAACGGCGCACGAGGGGGAAGGTGGCTAACACCATGTCTCCCCAGTGACGATGTTTACACACATCGCACCTGGTACTAATTTGAGGCTGAGTTGACCGAGGGGAGGCCCAGGACCAGTTCAGATGATCGTCACTGCTATTGGCCGTAAGCAGGAATGGGATCTTGAGTCGCCGGGTTCGTAATGGAGGGAAGACATCATTAAGGACATGCACGGGGAAGATGGAGCAATGCGCTAGATGAATTGATACATTTTTGCAGACTGAGAGATGGCAACAACTTGGGAAGGTCTTCATTCAGCAGTGGATTGATCATGGCTGATTATAATTAGCGTTCCTCAAGTGAATGGTCACATTCACGATACGTTAATGAAATTGGTCGTGTGATAGTTGCTTATTTAACATTTATTTAAATTACGTCCAAATTACACTCCAAAAGAAATGTATGCTAAATGAGTCGACAAAACAAAAAATATTGTCAAAATCACGAACAAATTAGAATGAGGCTGTAAAAATGTGACAAAGCACAATATGTCATTGAATCTAATTGTGACCTAAAATTTTGAGAATGAAATTGTTGGGAATTAATATAGTCGCATGCTTCCTGATTATTGTACTTGATAATTTTGGTGTTTATCGTTAGCACCCTGAGAATCTTAAGAATTACTTGTGAACAGTGTGTATTGAGAAATGGGCATGTGGCAAATCTTCGGCGGTTTAATAACAAGAGAAAGATTGAGACCCTAATTTTAATGAGTTCCCCTGTAATCTGGATTTCTGCTAATCCGGATCACCTCTGCTCCCCATTAATCCAGGTTTACGTACGAGGTGTTATTGTGTGTTCGACTCTATGTGGGTGATCATCGTTATAATATATTACATGTTGCTTGGATAAAGTAGTATGGTCTACCACCTCTGTCCCCAAATATTCGCGGGGGCATCTAACCTCATGGTATATTGAAGAAGAGACTATTAAGCCAGGATTGGTGTGTAATAATCAATCCAAGTTTAATGGTAACTGTGACACGGAGCTTTGCGCGTAAATGTCAGGGGTCTTTTTACTTCCACGCAATTTAGCAGACCGTGCATTTGTTCTGTGACCGTTTGGAATTGGAACTGTTAAAACCTGAACCCTCACCATCCTAACAGCAGACACACAGAGCTGTGCGTTTTATATCATCGTTATTTATGCTTTCGAATATTTTTTACGTCTGATAGGTAAATTTAAGATTTATGGATGACTGTTGTTTTCCCCCGGGATAGGCTTATGGGGTTCAAAAGGTAATGAAAAAGCAGGATGCTCTATTTCCATGTGATTTAATCTGGCTCTTACATAAGGCCATTTCTCATGCCACACACAGGCAGGTTTATGCACTACAGTTTACATAAACTCCAAGTGACATCAAGAGTAATGACCTCCCAGCATGACAAATTACTTTCCAAACACAAACAAATCCTCGCTGTTCTTTCCACTTTGCCCCACTATTCCATTGCTACTGTTTGATATCAGATTGAAGCCTCTCTTTCCATTTCGCTCGCACAGCGGTCGGTGGCGGGGACACTCTCCCGCCGGCGTGCTCGCACGTGCCTAGGCCCACTGCCAGTCGGTGCCCTCGACAATTAGTGACCATTGGGTTGCTTTCCCGAGCTAGGAATCTCATGTGTTGTTTCCAATTTTTCTTGGAATAACTCACCGTGCCTTGATTCCGCTGCACGTATGGCCCCTCGGATGGCCGGCATTTTAATTGATGGTTATCGTTCCGTGCACGATCTTTTAAGGTGCTCTTGTTTGTTAATTGTCGGGCTTGTTTATGAAAATAACTTTATTTCGCCCTATTTATTGCTTCCCCTCTCTGATTTTTGATAACAAACTGCAAAATGTGTATGTCGACTAATTTCTGAAGAATGAATATTTGGTAACCATTAATTTTAAAAGAAATAAATAAATAGTGTGTTTCGGTATAAATGTTTTGCAGTTCAGTGAAAGGATACAAAACAAGTATTAACGTGGATTTAGAGAGGCTTAAACTAAATTGTGGAAAATAGAAATTGCAGCAAAAACACCAATTAAGCTGATTAAACATCACGCTTAACATTCCTAAATAAAATGTTAGTTTTTTTCTGAAAATATATTGCCGAAGTCTTTGCCAATGTTCGTGCAGTAGACATCTGAAAATACACACCATAGCAGCTAAACGCAATTACCAGGACAATTATTAGTAACATAATTGAATGCTAAAAAAAACAATGATTATATACGCACAAGGCGATTTTATAGACGGCAAAAGGCGCATCTATGACAGCTGGCTCGGTCTTCCCATCATGCCTTGCATGTCACATGACAACCATACATGATGCAGATAGCCTCTTGTTTGTCTTTTTGCCCTACTGCTGTCTTATACTGGTAGGGACCTGGTTACACCAGCCCACGGGATTATTGTGTCCGTCCGTCCGTCCGTCGTGCAGGGAGGGGCTGGGTGGGGAGGATGGGGAGGGGCTGGGCGGGGAGGGTGGAGGAGGGGCTGGGTGGGGAGGGTGGAGGAGGGGCTGGGTGGGAGGGGTGGGGCTGGGTGGTGAGGGGCTGGTCACCCCGTGGTGCCCTTATAAAACTCAACGTTTAACCTACTCACGCCGGCTTGTGCCCGCCCTCGCATTCGGGCATATTTGCGGAATACACCACGTCGCCGTTGACCCTGCCCAATTGACCGAGCAACCCAACGTTTCTACCAGCTCCGTCCGCAGGAATGTGTACATAATATGGCTCCAGTTTTGACTCTCTTGAGGTGGTGGAGAGGAAGGAGATGATGATGATGGTGGCGGTGGCGATGTTGCACTCCCAGGTGATGTTGGGAGAACTCAAGGGCACGGACGAGGTTTTTGCCGTCAAGGTCCTGAAGAAGGACTCGATAATCCAGGACGACGACGTGGACTGCACCATCACCGAGAAGCGTATCCTGGCCCTGGCGCGCAAGCACCCCTACCTCACCCAGCTCTTCTGCAGCTTTCAAACAAGGGTCAGCTCCAGCAGCCGCAGCAGCAAGAGCAGTCATAGCGCATAGTACCCGCGGTTGCGCCATAACGCATGCACGTTCCAAAGGGTACATTAACACTGAACGATAAGAATCCTAATGGTGCCCTCGTCTTCCTGTCAGCTTTAGGCATTCACAATGAAGCATGCAAATCTTAATTGGCTCTCTGAGCCTTGAGGATTAACACTGAACCATAAGAATCGTAACACTGCGATAGTCTGTCTGTCTGAGCCTCAGCCATTAGCACCGATGCCGAAGAATTCCTAGGAAACTTTAGTCACATGTAGTCAAAATTACTTTTTAAAACATATATTGGATAAACATCTAAATGTTATTGAAACTTGCTCAGGCTTCCTTTCCTGGGGCAAATAAGCAGCAATGTCAGTATTCATGGAATTTTTCTGAACTGTAGCATAACTTGTTGTCTATGTGCATGCTTAGCATGTCACTTAATTGTTTGTATTTATTAACTAATAAATTACACTTGAATATCTTGTTAATTGACTATAGAAATAACGTATTTATCTTTGTTAGATATATTAAAATAATATGCTAATTGGCCAATAGGATGGCTGTGTATGAGAAGAAGCAACATGGGCAACTTGTATTTTAATCAATGCAACTTTCATGGAAATACATTCCCACTCTTCAGATATAGGTGTAGAAAAATTCATGTTGGAGCAAAATATTTCAAATTTTTTTATAACAGATTAGTTCCTGCATATCCTGTAGCCACTTTAGATATTATATTCCATGATGTGAAAAAAAGATTCTTGAATTAAATTGTGACTCAGATTTCTGATAATTAATTAAATCATGTAACAATCATGATAAGCCCCTTAAGCAGATATGTTTCAATAAAAGAAGCAAGGTATTTTTTTCTAACGCTTCCGCTATTACTCGTAAACATCTCTATTTAACATTCATGATAATAATAACACCAAGCCTTTTAGTGCTGATGTAGACTTTAGACTCCCTGTCCCGTATATAACTGCAGCAATTCTTTTTGTAACGGCACAACGACTCCCCCGCAGGACCGGCTGTTCTTTGTCATGGAGTACGTGAACGGAGGAGACCTCATGTTCCAGATCCAGCGCTCCAGGAAGTTTGACGAGCCGCGCTCGCGTTTCTACGGAGCTGAGGTTACGTCAGCGCTCATGTTCCTCCACCGCCACGGCGTCATCTACAGGTACTTGTGCCCACATTTTCGCCATCGCCGGCCGATTAAATGCCAAATTCCGCGCGGCTATGGACATGTACGATTTTGGCAGTTTCAGAAATGTTTTTTGTTGCTGCAACAGAGGCCCCTTTTTGAAGCGAAACGTGCAATAATAATGATCATAATTTAGAGTACAATTTGGATTTATGTAGCGGCGGCTAAATGCATCCGACATTCAAGATGCTGTACAAAAACAGTGGGCATATGTATTTTATGAGAGGCTGGTCAATCACAGGGCATGAAAAAAATGTGAGTCTTGAGCCCGGATTTGAGCAAAGAGTTGACAGAATGGAAAGCTGGGGGGGGGGAGGGGGGCGGGAGGTTGGAATTTCAGGCAATACGGGCAGCAGAGTAAAATTTGCTTCGGAGCATGAATAGAACATTTTAGTGACTAGAATGGTGAGTGCATAGACAGGAGTGTAGGGTGTGATGAGAGAGGAAACTTAGGCAGGGACATCCATGGAGAATTGTGAAAATGGTGAGTGTGATCTTGAATATAACACTGAATTGAAATTACCCTGCGATCGAAGAAAAGAATTTGTAGCGCATTGCGCAAACTGCTACACTACGGCTCCACCCCACAATCAAGCTATGTATTGGTGCAATTTAAGAGCTCGTTGGCTCTTGTGTTGTACCATCCTTTAAAAAATGTAAGACAAGCCTGCTAATGTAGCATTATGCAACATTCATTGGCCTGCATCTGCATCTGCGGCACAAAAGGTATGTGACTCGTATTTTATTCTGTGCATTTAACTTAAATTACAGGAGCAGTTAAACCTCTGTCGGCCCCACCCCTTTACTCTTTAGGACCCATCCCCTTACCACTTAGGCCCTGCCTCTTCCTCTTTTGGCCCCGCTCTTTCCTCCAGACACAGGGTGGGGCTGGTTTAGCGAGTGGTGGGGGTTGTGGAAGGGGCGGGAGTTGTGCACGTGCAGCAGTAGGTAGTGGTGGTGGGCGTGGACAGTGGGTAGCGGTTTGGGGGCGGCTTCACAACAATAACCAAAATCCCACTTGGGGCAATATGGCAATAGATTTGGGGTGGAGTAGTGGTTTGTGCACTGCGGACCTCAATAGCGTGGCCTCCTCATCGCTTGAAGTCACGCGAAGCCCCTTTTGGACCCATTCCCTTCACCTTAAATAATGCAAATTCAACCCCGATGGAGCTTAGAAAGCTGAATGGAGTTCAGAAGAACTCGCAAGCAAACACCTTGTGAAAGATTAAACGCAGAAGATCCATGGGTTTGATCTCCCACGAAGCTGATGGTCCACCCTAAATCGCATCTGTACAAACCGTGGCAGCAGATGCGGATACCTGATGCACAAATGGAATTTTAAAAACTCTCCAGTGTGAGACTGGTCATCCAGAACAGACCATACAACGTATAACGACGCAATGCCCGATCCACAAATACGACGGAGACATCACGGCTATGACACACTCCGCTGCTCCTCATACGGTTGTCTGGCCTGACCAGCTGAATGTGAAATTGTAGTTGTTTCTCTGCGTCTACATCATCGTACGAAAGGAGAAGACTGCGCTATGAACCCCGGTTACCTGAGTGAAGTTCTTGTCTGTGGCTCGCACGAATGATGAGTATTAACCTGAAACAGATCCTGAAGAGGCCCACTTCACCAACCCGCACTGACAAGCACAATGAAGTAGGATCAGACATCACCCCAACACGACTGACAGAATGGGGGCAGTCATGGATTGACAAAGGTGCTGAAAGTTAATAAAAAATTCAAACCGCACCACCTACTTTTGCGAGCTGGCGTGGGTGAATAAGCAGTGCAGAGGCCTGCGTCCTCTCAAAAAACTCAAAACGGTTTTCAAACACGACTCGGATCGACAACGCAAAAGCCTCGCCTTTAACGGTTCAAGTGGGGTTCAGCTAATTTTAAACATACGGGAGCGGCGGGGGGGGCTGTTTTGCCAGGGACTCCAGTGTCCCAGTGCTGACCCTTCCTCTTCTCCCCTTCCCTGCCTCCTAGCCAGTTCTCCGGGAGCGTCCCGTGCGAGCACGTCAACTTCCTCGGTTTATTTGCCTTCCATTGTCCGTGGCCCTTGGCCCGTCTGGACGCGCCGCTGCCGCTGTGTTTTTTTTCCGTGACGCTGCTCTTGTTACGCGCAGCAGGGCGGCCCGTCCAGGCCTTTGTATCTCGCTGCGAGCGCCGTGGCGCTCGCTTTTTTGTGAGCTGAGTACAAGTGTGTTAGCTCACAAAAAGCGAGCGCCGCGCTCGCAGCAAGTGTGTGTTTGGTCTTTTTACGTAAATCGGGGGGGGGGGGGTTTTCACCTGCAGAGGTGCATTGCCAGTCGTGGCTAATCTGTACGGGGCATTGGGGTGGGGGTCGCAGCTGAAAATTATCTCAATGTCTATTTATTTACTATTTTTAAAACCAACTATGCAAATCAGAAACCCTGTTGAAACCTTCAAAAGTAAAACAACACGTCTAATAAGTGCTTAATTTTATTTATTTTCGTAAGTGCTTTAACATTTCAAGTCGATATGTATGAAAATAAATAATCAAAATATGGGGTGCTCGTGTTGATCCGCCCCAATGAGATGCGTAACTTTGGCATCTCACTGGCCGATTCAAACCAACAGCGGTTGGCAGAAATTTATGGTGCCACCCATTGAAGACAATAAAGCAAACAATTCGGTGTTGTCACCACTCGATCAACATTTTTGTACACCCACCCGCTGCCATTGGAGAATGCTTGAAATGACAGTGACGGACGGCAGAGGGGAACACGCATGCGTTGGAGAACTTACCAAAGTTAGAGCCATAATTTTAATTGGTGAGAAAAGTGAGTGGGTTTGGCCAGGACAAATCTTATGTGTGTGTGTGCCTGTGCTTTCCATTGATGTCGGCATTTAACATGGTGAGGTGCACGCTTGGAATTGGACAGAAAGTGGGGAAAAAAGACGTGGATTAGAGAGGCAATGTGAGTTGGAGACATAACAGTGACTGTTCAGAAAAGTAAGCGGGTTTGAGCAAGACACATTGTGAGTAGAACATGTGCGTGTCCTTTCTGTTCAGAGTAGGTAATTCATTTGGAGAGGTGCATCCCTGATATGCACTGAAAGAGCAACAATGAACTTGGGAGTATAGAACATGTGTAGGTTCGAGACGACATGGACTGGCAGACGAAAACTATTTTAGTGTTTTCGGAAAACTGAACTTACTAAAGAAAAGCAACGTATGAATGTGCTTAAATTACAAAGTATGTCATCGTTCGATGCTACCTCTAATGATATTTGAATTACTAACATGGATATTGATCAAGAATATCGAACAAAACTGAAAAGTGCACAAAGAAGCATATAGTTGCAATCTTGGAGCAACACTCGGGAGACCAAAGTGGACTGTCCCTCTCCCGCACCTCCGATCAGTGCGGTTGGCTACGTATGGTGCGAAACAAGTGCTACATACATGTTGACTTTTGAGAAAAGTGTCCTTGAAGGGATGATAACCAGTGGTCGAGGCTAATGACGGAGTGGTAGCCAAAGGGGTGAAACACACCCAAGGGAAAAAACAGATCCGAGAGGACGTCTACTGCGGAGATGGAGCAATGAAATCTACTCGCGTGCAGGAGCTGGATGGATGTTTGCGCAGTGAGAGACTTGCGGTGGTGGTGGCTTGGGGGGAGACCTTCATCCAGTGGATTGATGATGGCTCATGGTGATGACGAATGGGCCGGTGTTTAATCCCAATGCTGCCAATTATTGCTACATTCATCACAGTGTTAAATATATTTGATTGTTGAATCGGAATTCCAACGATCAATTCGTCGAATGGCTAGTGGTGGGGAGGGGATGGTGGTCGGTGAGTTATTAAACTCTATAATGTTTGTAATGATTGATCAATCAAAATTGATTGCTCGTGATACATGCGTGAAATCTTGCCTTTGAGAATTGATTATTTAATTAGTATGTAAATTGTAGGCTCGTAATACACGTAGGAAAACGGAGCAATCAACTGCAGAGATGACACCAACACAAGCGAGAATCAATGCGAGTGAGGTGGTGAAAACAAGACGAAGAAATAACGTATATTCAGTCGAACCACGACTCGTGACAATTCATCAAATGGGCTGTGTTAGCACAGTGGGGGGCGGTGGGTGGGGGAATCATTACTGACTCGTGTTTATAGTTGCGTCTTCTTTGTTGTACATACGTTTGCCTGTCCCCGCGGCTGATTTTACAGGATGTATTGGGCTGTACCGGCGACGAAAAGAGGATGTTGATTAATCGAGGGGAATGCACAACAAATAATTGATGCCAAACGTGGAAGACATTCGTTGGCTGTTCTCCGGCATGTCACTAAGGCGGGACAGAACTTTGTCCAAAGCTAAAAACTGCCACGCCAATGCACCATGTTGATAACTATGGTCACCTAAAAGCTTAACAGGATAAATAAAGCTGCTTCGTTATCAGTCGTCGTTCGTTAGCAGTATTGTAGAAACACAACAAGGCCACCACTTTCATATCACTGTTATATAACATTAAACACATTCCTGCGGAGGGAGCTGGTAGGAACGTTGGGTTGCTCGGTCAATGGCCAGAGTCAACGGCGGCGTGGTGTATTCCGCAAATATGGCCGACTGTGAGGGCGGGCACAAGCCGGCATGAGTAGGTTAAACGTTGAGTTTTATAAGGGCACCACGGGGTGACCAGCCCCTCCCCACCCAGCCCCACCCCTCCGACCCCCCATCCAGCCCCTCCCCACCCTCTGTGACCAGCCCCACCCCTCCCATTTTTTGATTCACGACAGACGGACACAATAATCCCCTGTGGGCTGGTGGAACCAGGTGGTTCCTACCAGTATAATGCTTGGTCTAGTGGCTAGCACGCTGCCCTACAAACATGGTAACCTGAGATTGATTCCTGGTCAAGGTTAATTTCATTAGTGAGTAATATCTGACTCCACTTATGGCTTGCCCCCCCTCGCCAACCAGCACTGACC